TTACCTCGATTGAATATATCTCGATTCTATAACCACGGTCATAAAGCTAAAACAACCAAGGCAATATTCACTAAAGTTTTTAAATTCGTTATTTTAAGATTTTGGTTCAAAAGTTATTTCAATTTTTTATGTATGTTATTAGGTTTATGTTTCATGCATCCAGATGATTCTCTCTCAAAATACTCACCACAAACAACCATGATCTACCGAAAGAAATTGTGTTTTAATGAAAAATTTTCAGATGCATAATTTGAAATAAAATAAATAAATCAATTCAATTATAGTCTATAAAATAGAATTTAAATATGATTTCTTAAAAAATTGAGAAATTTATTCGAATGATTTTATTTAGTGAATTTCAACCGGCCCAACAAGTTGGTGGTATTAATTTATGATCTTTGTTTAGTTGAAAGTTAGTGACATGATCTTTCACATTCCACTCAAGCTATATTTAGATTGTGTGTGTGTTTTTTTGGGGTAAATGGACATGTTCATGTTCCAAGTGCATATGGTCTGTCTCTTGTTGAAAATGGAGAGTATCAAGTTTTGGTTAATGCAATATTTTAAACATACTTTGGAAAAAAAATGGAATATTTTCAACATATTATTTTTAATTTTCATGTATTTACTTTGAAAATACAGTGTTTGAATTATTTTGTACTTTAAAAAAAACATTATTTTACCAAACCACATAATTGAGTAGGACCATTTTCCACATACAATACAATATTTCTCTTACGTACGTTTAACTACTTCTTTCAATATATAAGAAATCACACAACAGAAGAAACAAATTTCTGAATACATCACCACTAAATCATGTCCCTAATTATATAATTCAAACCTCTGCAATTATTAAAAAAAAAATCCCTGAATTTGTTTCGGAAGACAATTATCGCTATATGCTTGGAAAAAGAAAAACAAAAACAAAAGGTTAAAACTTTGCCTGATTGATATTTAGTCATATTCTTAAATTTATTCATAAATTATATTTAATGAATACAATAAATAATACTAATCTATAGTTTACAAAATTATTGCATTAATTGTAAGGACTGAGTTTTTGTGTGTGGGTGCTTAATGTATTCGTAAACTAAATTTTATGTTTATTTTGTTATTTAGTGTATAATGATATATGGATTAAAAGAGAAGGGTAGACACTAGAAAGGTTTAAATAGTTTAGAGTGATGTTTAGTTTGACTTGTGGGTTTAGATGTGACTAAAGAAGTAGATATAATAAAAAACCATTATAGTTTTATCCGAAAAGCCGAAATAAAGAGAACGAAGTTCTTTTCTTCTTTTTCTTCCATTTTCTTACACCATCTTCAATTTCTCCATTATTTTGAAGGTTTTGATGTTTTTAAGCAAAGAGCAAAAAGATAACATTTATGTCGGTCGAGTCAAGAGATAAGTAAGATGAACTGAAAAATACCCACAAATTCATTGCTTTTGAATTTTTTTATTGAAATTGATGTTTTTGTATAAATATATGATGGTATATGATTTCAGACTCATTGAATTCAGTCCATTCCAAGAATTCAACATCATTTGATGGTGAATCCTTTGAGTATTTTCTGTTTTATTTTATTTTTTTATCCGATGCATATTTAAGATTGTTGAGGCAATGGATGATTAGGTATTTAGGTTTGAACTAATCAATAGCTAGCTTAGCACCTTTACTTCATCGTCTCTTTCAAATACGTAAGTTCATAATGTTGAACCTTAACAAAGAAAGTTAAAATCTACTTTGAAATTAAACATCAATTTTAAAGAATGTTGAACCACTTGAATTCAATCTTGATGGAAGAAGAGAAAGGATTTTCATATTTAGTTGGTAGAAAGAGAAAAGGATATTGTTTTTTAATTTTCGTACGAGGGTCGTTACGAAAAAGTTATAAATAGTTGCTTTATCCTTCTTGGACACACATGTATTAAAAATACACACGTGAAATTGCGTAGCAGGTTAAAAGCGGAAACACGCTGTCATGTCTATCAGGATATGACCACAAACAGAGCCTCGTTCTATCGTTCTCTTCAAAAGACAATTGAAACGATTGTTTAAGGGCTCCATTTAGATCTTTTGTTTTTTGTTTTTTTTTATGAATGGGCTCCACTCACATCTGATGTGAGTTTACCACAATAAAACTTACAACTCTTTTGCTAAAAGAATGCTCCACTCTTAGTAAAATCTACCATTTACACAAGAAAATTTTATTTGCTTATAAATCAATCATTCAGACATCAAACAAATAATTTAGAGCTTCCAGTGTAGTAAACCACCTTAAGCAACCAGGAAGTGCCTTATGAGAACTACATAAAATACACGTAAAACAACCTGCAGAGACATAAGAAATCCTTAGCCCTAATTAAACATAAACACATACTATATATATATATATATATAATGCAGCTCTTCACTTGAAACATTTAGGTGGTCACTACAGCCTTGTGTTGACCACTTCATTCTTTGCCATCTGCAGCCCGAAGTGAACCTAGTTGAACTGGGGCCTGAGTCTGCACCACTTTGGACGACCCATACACTGATATATCAGTACCTTGAGCCTTCTCCTTCTCAATCTGCTCCTTAATCCAGAAGTATGTGATCCTCAGCCCATCCTACAATATCAGAATTCAGATACTGTAAGTATCATAGAATCATTTGGTTGTTTAAAATTATCAAAAAGTAGGAAAGGATGGTGTAAAATACAAAGGTTTTCATTGAGAAAAGCTAAAGATTCCATCAATTAGAAGAATAAACTAAGCACGGTGCAATTGACTGAATCTACTATTGTTGCATATAACTTAATATGAACATGCATTGAATTATAGAATGGAAATGAGAAGATAATTTCCTATTAATTAATGATATTAATACCTTCAACTTCATAGTTGGAGCCCAGCCAAGCTTTTCTTTTATCAGTGTGTTGTCTGAATTACGACCTCGAACACCCTCGGGACCAGGAATGTGATGAATAGGAATATTCTTGTTCTCAAAGCCAAGAATAATCTCGGCCATCTCATTCATGCTAACCATCTCATCACTTCCAATATTTACCGGCTCACGGAAGTCAGATTTTGTCAATCTAAACACAAGAATAAATCCCAATGACAATTTTTATCAAAGATTATGAAGAAAAAGGTGAAACATCTCCATAATTTCTTGATATACTCATAAATACCATATTGACCTTCCCCTGTTCAACCAAATAAGACAATTTCTAAATCATGTAAATGCGGAAATCGATATTGTGGCCATTTAATCCAAAAGTTTTGAATGAGCTAATGATTAGTTTTCTTCCAGAAAAACCCAATTTTAAATAAATAGATTTTGCAAAGAAAACTACTAATTGTGTGTTTGGATCAATGTCTGTGATCCATGTTGCCTTTCAAATCCATGTCAAAACATGAAAAATTAAGCACTAGCAAGCTCGCATGGTGCTAAGTGGACACACATCACGGAGCACAAAACATGCAGCAACAAATTGACAAGTCCTCAAAATAACTTCACAAAAAGTTACTCTACTGACTCTGTTTTCATTATCAGAAAACAAAAAATTCAGAATTTTAATATTAAACAGACAGACAACAAAAAGAACACGATAATTTAGCTATAAGTCAAAAAAATCAGCCAAGACATACCTTAGCACACCTTCAACACACTCATCAATGAAGGTAAATGATCGTGTTTGCAATCCATCTCCCCACATCTCAAATCTATCAGTGGAAGTAATTACCTTCCGACAAAAAGCAGCAGGAGCCTTCTCCCTTCCACCTATCATAAGACACAGGAACAGACCACAACACAAACTTAGTAAATCCAAAAGGATACCAAAATATAAAATTTTCTACCAAATTACCCATTTGGTAAAGACAAAAAATATAAAGGCCTTAAATTCAGAGAAAAAGCATGCCTTTCCAAGTTCCAAAAGGGCCATAGATGTTATGGAACCTCCCAATACGGCACTCAATTCCAAAATCCTTGTTATAGTGCTTGCATAACTCTTCAGTTGCAAGCTTCTCCAGTCCATACGCATCTTGTGGCTAAAACAGTCATAAAAGTAAACACATTACTCCCAATCCCAGTGTGAAAATCAAGAACCAACATAAATTGAACAACTGCAAAATCACCAACAAACCTCAGCTGGCCATGCATCAGACTCCTTCAAGCTCACATTGGTTTCCAACTGTTTAAACTCTGGGTAGATACAAGCACTAGAGGCATAAAAAAACCTGGAAAATATTTTTTGAATAGCGTAAAGCACATCGTCATATAATTAAAACAAACACCACATCATAAATGTTTAGTCCGAAAACGTATAACTGAAATGATAAGCATGATGACTGACCTCTTAATGCCGTTAATCCTGGCAGCCTCAATCATGTTGAAACTAATCATGGTGTTGTTGTACATAATGACAGAGTGATTAGACTGAATAAATCCCATCCCACCCATATCTGCAGCAAGATTGAAAACATGATCAACCCCCTCAGTAACCTTCAGGCAGTTATCCATGACCCTGAGATCAACAAGATGGAATTCATCACAGAACATGTCCTCAGTCATGTGCTCATTTTTCTTCCAGTCAGAAGCAATAACATAATGCCCCTCCGTCTTGAGGCGCCGAGCTATGTGTGATGCAATAAAACCCCCAGCCCCAGTGATGGAAATCTTAAGCTTCTCTGAGGGCCAGTAAGGCTCTCTCTCAAGACTCTCATAAGTGTACTCACCATAGTCAGTTTTTCCAGCACTTCCCATTCTGCACACAACGTGGATTCGGAGGGCAAAAGGAAAACGGTTACGAAAAATAAGTCCAAAACATCAGCAACCACTTTATAAACAAAAAAGAGTTCATGTGAAGCAAAGGTAATGTGAGAACCAAGAAAGAAGAGAAAAATGAAATTTACGAAATTTCCTCTTTTCAAGGAATAACAAACCAGTCTATAAACAAAAAACAGCTCATGTGAAGCAANGAAAATTTTATTTGCTTATAAATCAATCATTCAGACATCAAACAAATAATTTAGAGCTTCCAGTGTAGTAAACCACCTTAAGCAACCAGGAAGTGCCTTATGAGAACTACATAAAATACACGTAAAACAACCTGCAGAGACATAAGAAATCCTTAGCCCTAATTAAACATAAACACATACTATATATATATATATATATAATGCAGCTCTTCACTTGAAACATTTAGGTGGTCACTACAGCCTTGTGTTGACCACTTCATTCTTTGCCATCTGCAGCCCGAAGTGAACCTAGTTGAACTGGGGCCTGAGTCTGCACCACTTTGGACGACCCATACACTGATATATCAGTACCTTGAGCCTTCTCCTTCTCAATCTGCTCCTTAATCCAGAAGTATGTGATCCTCAGCCCATCCTACAATATCAGAATTCAGATACTGTAAGTATCATAGAATCATTTGGTTGTTTAAAATTATCAAAAAGTAGGAAAGGATGGTGTAAAATACAAAGGTTTTCATTGAGAAAAGCTAAAGATTCCATCAATTAGAAGAATAAACTAAGCACGGTGCAATTGACTGAATCTACTATTGTTGCATATAACTTAATATGAACATGCATTGAATTATAGAATGGAAATGAGAAGATAATTTCCTATTAATTAATGATATTAATACCTTCAACTTCATAGTTGGAGCCCAGCCAAGCTTTTCTTTTATCAGTGTGTTGTCTGAATTACGACCTCGAACACCCTCGGGACCAGGAATGTGATGAATAGGAATATTCTTGTTCTCAAAGCCAAGAATAATCTCGGCCATCTCATTCATGCTAACCATCTCATCACTTCCAATATTTACCGGCTCACGGAAGTCAGATTTTGTCAATCTAAACACAAGAATAAATCCCAATGACAATTTTTATCAAAGATTATGAAGAAAAAGGTGAAACATCTCCATAATTTCTTGATATACTCATAAATACCATATTGACCTTCCCCTGTTCAACCAAATAAGACAATTTCTAAATCATGTAAATGCGGAAATCGATATTGTGGCCATTTAATCCAAAAGTTTTGAATGAGCTAATGATTAGTTTTCTTCCAGAAAAACCCAATTTTAAATAAATAGATTTTGCAAAGAAAACTACTAATTGTGTGTTTGGATCAATGTCTGTGATCCATGTTGCCTTTCAAATCCATGTCAAAACATGAAAAATTAAGCACTAGCAAGCTCGCATGGTGCTAAGTGGACACACATCACGGAGCACAAAACATGCAGCAACAAATTGACAAGTCCTCAAAATAACTTCACAAAAAGTTACTCTACTGACTCTGTTTTCATTATCAGAAAACAAAAAATTCAGAATTTTAATATTAAACAGACAGACAACAAAAAGAACACGATAATTTAGCTATAAGTCAAAAAAATCAGCCAAGACATACCTTAGCACACCTTCAACACACTCATCAATGAAGGTAAATGATCGTGTTTGCAATCCATCTCCCCACATCTCAAATCTATCAGTGGAAGTAATTACCTTCCGACAAAAAGCAGCAGGAGCCTTCTCCCTTCCACCTATCATAAGACACAGGAACAGACCACAACACAAACTTAGTAAATCCAAAAGGATACCAAAATATAAAATTTTCTACCAAATTACCCATTTGGTAAAGACAAAAAATATAAAGGCCTTAAATTCAGAGAAAAAGCATGCCTTTCCAAGTTCCAAAAGGGCCATAGATGTTATGGAACCTCCCAATACGGCACTCAATTCCAAAATCCTTGTTATAGTGCTTGCATAACTCTTCAGTTGCAAGCTTCTCCAGTCCATACGCATCTTGTGGCTAAAACAGTCATAAAAGTAAACACATTACTCCCAATCCCAGTGTGAAAATCAAGAACCAACATAAATTGAACAACTGCAAAATCACCAACAAACCTCAGCTGGCCATGCATCAGACTCCTTCAAGCTCACATTGGTTTCCAACTGTTTAAACTCTGGGTAGATACAAGCACTAGAGGCATAAAAAAACCTGGAAAATATTTTTTGAATAGCGTAAAGCACATCGTCATATAATTAAAACAAACACCACATCATAAATGTTTAGTCCGAAAACGTATAACTGAATGATAAGCATGATGACTGACCTCTTAATGCCGTTAATCCTGGCAGCCTCAATCATGTTGAAACTAATCATGGTGTTGTTGTACATAATGACAGAGTGATTAGACTGAATAAATCCCATCCCACCCATATCTGCAGCAAGATTGAAAACATGATCAACCCCCTCAGTAACCTTCAGGCAGTTATCCATGACCCTGAGATCAACAAGATGGAATTCATCACAGAACATGTCCTCAGTCATGTGCTCATTTTTCTTCCAGTCAGAAGCAATAACATAATGCCCCTCCGTCTTGAGGCGCCGAGCTATGTGTGATGCAATAAAACCCCCAGCCCCAGTGATGGAAATCTTAAGCTTCTCTGAGGGCCAGTAAGGCTCTCTCTCAAGACTCTCATAAGTGTACTCACCATAGTCAGTTTTTCCAGCACTTCCCATTCTGCACACAACGTGGATTCGGAGGGCAAAAGGAAAACGGTTACGAAAAATAAGTCCAAAACATCAGCAACCACTTTATAAACAAAAAAGAGTTCATGTGAAGCAAAGGTAATGTGAGAACCAAGAAAGAAGAGAAAAATGAAATTTACGAAATTTCCTCTTTTCAAGGAATAACAAACCAGTCTATAAACAAAAAACAGATCATGTGAAGCAAGGGTAATGTGAGAAAGAAGGAAGAAGAAAAGTGAAATTGACGAAATTTCCTCTTTTCAAGAAATAACAAACCAGGCTGAAAAACACGGCGGAGAGTCGGGGGAAAAGAACGAGATACAACACATGCTAGCACATGAAGGGTACTAGAATGCGATTAATTAATAGAAGCATAATGAAAACACTTAACTCATTATAGTTGGCACTACTGAAAGATAAAACTTAAAAAAAAAATAGGAGTATTTAGGTTTAAAAAAGATCTGATACCCAGCTTTCCCAAAAAGAAAAGGGGAAAAAATAAATTAGAATGGGTGACAGTAAAATAGGTTTCGTGTTGAGTTGAAGAGTATCAAATTGAGGCAAAGCATAAAATAGGTTTACATATAATGGGTGACAGTAAAAGAAAAAGGAATGATAGGAAGAGAATGAGAGAACTGGTGCATAGAGAAGTCACGGCAAAAGGCAAAAGGCAAAAGTTGTATTGAAAGTTTAAACCCTAAGCGTGGATGGTAAATTTGGAAAGATAAACATAAATGATGGGGGAATTGAGGAACAAACCTGTGTAGAGGGAAAAGGGAGAGGTTGAAGGGATTGAAGAAAGTTTATGGAGAGAAGGAGATAGGAAATGAGTTGAAAGTGGTGGAATGCTGCTATATATAGGATGAAAAGGGAAAGTCACTCATAACTTGTGTTATTTGATTTCCTCACAATACAGACACAAACAATTGTACTGTGCTTTAATAAAACAAATTAAGCTCTGTTCTAAATTATTTAGTGCTGGGAATCTTTCACCGAAGCTGTCGCGAGAACCCATTTAACACGTTGCATATCCCAACTGAGGAAACTGTTTTGAGATGAATAAGTGCAGTAGATACGTCAAAATCCACCGCTTCAACTGATTCCACCGTACGGCCACCAAGTAAAATTAAGGAAGTTCTTATACTCCTTCATTTTTTCTGGAGTGTTTCGTCTGTAGCGTATTTAAAAATTCCATTTTTACCTTTCTAACATTTTAATATTTTAATTTTTGGTTTAATATCTTAATAGATCCCTATTTTTGTTCAGAATTTGGAATAGGTTCCTTTATTTTTTGGCGTCTCAATTGAGACTTATTTTTGTTAATTTGATGCAAATAAATCCTTTCCGTCAATTTCATCAAACGACGTTAATGAATGTGTGACGTGGCCTTACACAGATCAATACTGTCTTCAGGCCACATCACACATTCATTAACACTGTTTGATGAAATTGACGGAAATGATTTATTTGCATCAAATTAACAAAAACAAGGACCCAATTGAGACGCCAAAAAATAAAGAGACCTATTTCAAATTCTGAACAAAAATAGGGACTATTGAGACATTAAACCTTAATTTTTTTAAAAATTTTACTTTTCAACATTAATAAATGTATTTTGATTTTTTTTCTAGACCATCTTAATAATAATTTAACTTAATTTAAAATTTAAATATTATTTAATATAATTTTATATTTTAATAATTATTAAAATATAATTTATATTATAATAATAATTATATTAAAAAAATTAAAAAAATAAAATAATTAAAATAAAAATATAAAATAAAATAATAATAATATAAAATTTGATTTGATATATTAAAATATTAAAATAAATTAAATAATTATTAAATTTTTAAATTGAAAAAAAAATATGCTAACGGTTTTATTTTTTATTTAAAATTTAATAAATATTTAATTTAAATGAAAATTATAATATTATTTATTATACTTTTATATTTTAAAATATAATAATAATAATGAAAATAAAAATAATATTTAAATCACATTTAATATATTTGAATATATTAAAATATATCAAAATATTAAATTAAATTAAATAATTATTAAAATTAAATCAAAATCAAAATTTTAAGTACATTTTTAATCGAATATCATTTCAATATAATATATTATCGGATTTATATCCAATTAATGTAACATCCCAGATTATATATAAATATGTAACATAGTAGGTCCACATTTTAATATAAGAGAACAGTCAGAGTAGACTTGAAGAAAAGTTATTAAGATTACAGTCATCCAAAATAAGCCATGATTTAAAACTAAACACCTTAGAGTATTTCAAAATGATAGTACTTAATTAAAAAACTCCTAAACAACTAAGCTTCAGCATCATCTCCCTCCAAAGCCTCCTCTAGAGGCACCTCATCCACTTCTGCTCACACCCAAGTGGATGATCATTGCAAAAGAAAAGTATACCTAAGCAAAACACAAACACAAAAGCAAAGGTGAGCTAGGTATACAAAAATCATGTTAAAACAATCACACACAATACGCAATTAAAGACAGATATACTAGACTACACAAACATAACTTGTTGCACTTGAACTTGACTCGTCCGAACTTAGAATGATTGTTGAGCTATGGCGAGTTATGCACTTCATGGTGGCCTTTACTGCTTTGCAAAGCCATTGCCAATGGGTTTCACCTACCACACTCACGAGGTTAGTCCGTTATCACTCACCTTGGGCCATATTGGAAGCACCAAGACTAGGACCTCCTGCTACTCCTCACCACATGGATCAATCTCTCTACTTGAGAATAAAGACCATTGGAGCGTCCGGAAAAACCCCAAGACTGAGCTACCATGCAAATCCTTCTAAACACTAAGGGCACCACCATGAATCTTCTCCTTGAAGATCATGGAATTACGTTCCAATAACATATGGCAACACCATGTAACCTCCCTTTGAGATCCATGGAATTATGGTCCATCAACCATATGTCACTTTGAAACTTAACTCAAGACATGAACAACCAATACCATAAATTATTATGTGAATCCAAACATATAACCTCACTGATCATGAAATATCATAGATACTTTTAAACCATTATAATAATCAAAACATAGTTCAAGGTTATCATAAAACAGGAATAAAAAAAATAAAAACAAGTTATGGGCAAGTCGCTCAGCGCACCAAACTCGCTGTGCGAATAACAAAAACAGTGGTTTTACTCACTCACATTCGCTCAGCGCACTAAGCCTATGCGTTGTGCTAAACTCCATTCGCATAGCGCACCAAGTCTTTGCGCTATGCTAAACTGAAAATTCTATTACACATTATCAGACCTTAAACCCCGCATAGCGCCCCAAATTCGCTATTTGAATTAACTAAACATTTTCCCAGCAACCATCAGTCGCACAGCGACAGGATTCACAAGGCGAATCTCAAGACAGAGAGCAGAACCTTCCAGTCATTCGCACAACGCACCAGATCGCACAACGAATCACTCAAACAGAGAGCACCCTCTACAGGGACTCGCTATGTGAGACAATTCGCATAGCGACTCTGCATCATCTGCAGAACGCAAATTCTACAGAATTATGCACTCACACACCCCCTTACCATTTCCAGGCATCTTTTCCCCAATTCTAACACCCCTAATTCGTGGTTTTCACATAATTAAACTTGTCTAGAGTTCCTAAACCCTCCTAATACAATTTTAAGGTGATTACAACTCAACTTTTACTCCTCAACATCAATTATCACCACTTGAGGATCCCAAACCCAATTTGAACATTTTGCACCTATTTGGACCACTTGAGTGACTCAAACAAGTCACAATACACTTGCTGAAACTGCCCCAATAGCCCAAATACACTATAGACATCCAAAGCTCAAAATCACTATCTCACTTCCTTTCAACAGTTTCAAAACACTAATATTTCACTATGCTTCTGCCAAAACCAGTGACAACAACCTTCTACTCGAAAATACTCTAAAATGAAGGCCATTCCAGTAGTCAAATGCATCCAATACAGTTTATTAACGTCACCTCACAGATTCACAGATTC